CTTCGTTCTCTGCAGTTAAAGCAGCAAGCTAGGCATAGTGGTTCACGCCTCTACTTCTGGCACTTAGATGGTAAAGGCAGGAGGATCATGCAAGTTCCAGGCCAGTCAGGAATACAGAGAAAGACCCTGTCAAACACTAAACAAAAATAAAAATGATAAAGAACTGGAGATGGAGCTCAAGGTAGAGTACTTGCCTAGCATGCAAGAAGCCCTGAGTTAATCCCTAGCATGGCGTAAACTGTATGATAGTGCATACTTATAACCCTAGCATTCAAGATGTAGGGCCAAGAAAGAGGCCCAAAGGTTCAAGGACCAAATATGTGCCTCCAATGTGCCTCTTACTGGCTTTTCAGCAAACAACGGACCCCATGTTTAAGAGGGGTTCTATAGGTACATCACCTCCTGACACTGTTGCTGCCCTGTGAGCACACACATGTTCACACAGTGATAAAGAACAATGCATTGCTCACAATGGATCCCTGCTGTGACCAACACATGACTGACTGACTGGATAACTGCAGAACATGAGAAATTCTGGAACTGAGAATTTGTGAGAGACAGTTGAAACACAATCAAGGTTGGGCACAGACTTGGAAAGCCCCATTCTGACAAAGTGGAGTAGTGTATGCTGCTGTGGAATATCTTTCTGTAAGCTGTGAATATGTGTCACTTTGATTGGTTGATGAAATAAAGCTGCATTGGCCTATGGCAAGGCAGCTTAGAGGTAGGTGGGAAATCCAAGCAGATACACAGAGAGAAGAAAGGAGAGGAGAGAGAGACGCCAGTTGCTGCCACAGCAGCCGAAGGAGGAGCAAGATGCCAACAGACCAGTATTGCCACAGCCACGTGGCAACTTATAGATTAATAGAAATGGGTTAAGTTATAAGAGCTAGCTAGCAAAAAGCCTGCCAGAGGCCATGCAATTGGTAATTAATATTAAACCTCTGAATGATTATTTTATAAGTGGCTGAAGGACCACAGGGCTGGACAGGAACTCGGGACGGGGATGGCCGGAACCTGAGAAACCCTCCGGCTACAGTATGCAGTCTTACTCATCCTAGGCCAATTTATTGCTCAGCAAAATGAGAAAACATGATGTGTAGAGCTGAATTCCAATGGAGGAGATATTTATGAAAGCTAAGGTCCAAGGGATAAATGTCTGTCCTCAGAAATGTTGTAGACAGCAGAACCTACCTTCAAGGCCTCACTCATTCCTCTGCCTATCACAAGAGTCTGTACTCCCTTCTCAGCGACTTCCTTTACATCTGCAGGCTGCACCCCAGGAGAATGCTGGATATGGAAGAGAGAGCAGAAGGAACCAATTTTTCTTTACAACAGAATTACTTTTTAAATTTTTTTATTTTGCCAGGCGATGGTGGGGCACGCCTTTAATTCCAGCACTTGGGAGGCAGACACAGGCAGATCTCTATGAATTCAAAGCCAGTCTGGTCTACAGAGCGGGTTTCAGGACAGCCAGGGCTATTACACAGAGAAACCCTGTCTCAAAAACAAAAACAAAAGACAAAAACAAACAAAAAAAGATTTCAATTTAGGAAACAATTAAGAATCCTGGGCCTGGGAATGTAAAGAAACACAGAGAAGCCCTGCCCCCCAAATAAACAAATAAATAAATAATGATAAGGAAAGGTAAGCACAAAAGCCCCCATTCTCACATTACAGATAAGGAAACTGAAGCTCAGAAAAAAAATACACAACTTGGTTAAGATGACCCAGCTGGCAAGTGGTAGAGCTGGGATTTGAACTCAGACACACATCACTTCTGCTATAATGAATGCTTTTTACTGAAGCTTGAAAGAATGAAACATAATGGCAAATAGAGTCGGACTAAGCCCAGCAACTAGCCTATGTAAGTCCTATTTTCTCACAGGAAAATCTCCCTTTCTATCCTTCTCCTCTCCCTCCAATGGAGCTAAGGGCAGAGGCAGGCGGATCTCTGAGTTCAAGGCCAGCCTAGTCTACAGAGCCAGTTGCAGGACAGCCTGAGCTACATAGTGAGACCCTGTCTCGAGAAAAACCAAAACGACAACAAAAGAGCACGTGTTTCTTTTTTAGAGGAGCCAGTTTTGAGTTCCAGCACCCACGTGGAGGCTCACAACGGTCTGTAACTCCAGTCCCAGGGAACCCGATGCCTTCTTCTGGTGTCTGTGGATACTGCATGCAAGGGTTCCACAGACATACATGTGGGCAGACAAAATAAAATAAAAACTAATTTAAAAAGTGTTTGTGACTTAAACGTGTTTGTGGGTTTTTATTTTATGTGTAAGTGTTCTGCCTATCTGAGTATCTATGTACCATGTGCAGGTCTAGTGTCTATGGAGGTCAGAAAGGAGTATCAGATCCCCTAGAAATGGAGTTACAGCTATTGTGAGCCACCATGTGGGTACTGAAACTCAAAAACAGGTCTCCTGTTAGAAGAGAAAGAAGTGCTCTTAACTTCTGAGACATCTCTTCAGCCCCAGATTGTAATGTTTGAAAATTATTTAAAAAATTGTAAAAGGTCAAACTGGAAAAGGAACATTCTCACATGATTACAACTATTGATTAAAGACTATAAAGGATTGGATCCGATGCTCTTCTTGGTCCCACACTCTGATCAATCCTAGATCACCCTGAACTTAATAAACAATATTTAAAGAATTTTTTTTTTCTGGAGTGAATGTTTACTAGAATTACAGCTCAGGATTGGAGAACTTCACCTTCCTTAAATAAATGCATTTATGTGAATTATTGGGCAGTTACTTCATTTAGCAAAGACTAGCAACTGTTTTGAATAAAGCCACAATCTCCAAACTCTTAGGGCTCACGTTGTTTCATGATAGCAACTAGAAACAGTGCTAGATAGTGCTAGAAATGCAGTGAAAGGCTGTAAGCAGTGCAGAACTATAGTCCTCTGGAGATTCGGACTAGAGCTAGCTGAAGCCGGTCAGAGTTGCTTGATCAGTGGAACGCGTGTGATGAATTCAGCTGCTGCTGCTGCTGCTGTCCTGCAGGCCCACGGTGTCTGTACTGAGCAATAAAAGATAACAGCAGGGGCCTGTGGATCCAGGCACTGGCAGTAATTACTCCTGGCTTCTTGTGGAAACCGGAATTGGAGCATCACACTGTTATCGCAGCATCTTCAACCTGCCCTCAGCTCCTGTTTGCTTCCAGGTCCTCAAGCAACCAGGCGACCAGGCGCTCATTGAGCGTGGCTCTGTTCTTTAGTGAGAGGCTTTTATCACGCAGCCGAGGGCTGTAAAGCTCAGCTTTTTTCTTGGGGAAAGCTATTAATTGTAGAACAGTGTCTTGACTGCTACCCATTAGAGCAGCAGACAAGAGGATTTCATCCTTTGTGGCTCAGAAATTTTATGATCCAGTTGAAAAGGAAACATGCCTAAATTAAACTTTCAAAGAACCATTTCCTTCTACCAAAATTACAGGCTTGTGAATGGATAGTAGGAGTACTATTAGCTGGCTGCACTGTGGTAAAAGCAGACTCTGTGAGGGAAGGTTACAGATTGCGGGGATCTATCCCCTGTAGATACTGTCTGAGGGAAGGTTCAAGATTGCTGGGATCTATCCCCTGGAGATACTGTCTGAGGGAAGGTTACAGATTGCGGGGATCTATCCCCTGGAGATACTGTCTGAGGGAAGGTTACAGATTGCTGGGATCTATCCCCTGGAGATACTGTCTGAGGGAAGGTTACAGATTGCTGGGATCTATCCCCTGGAGATACTGTCTGAGTTGTATTCTCATTGTCCCTGGCCTGAATGAACAGCTTCTCCACTGATCTTTTATTCTACCAGGGCACTGGCTGCTTTTCTGCCACCGTATGGTGAAACTTCTGACAGCAGTTCTCCGCAGAGATTTTAGACTCCCTCATTCCAGCCTTGGGCCACAGGAGCCCCGAATTTCATTTTAAACAACGCTCCCATGATCCCACTAATAAGGGGAGGCTGAAAATGGTCTTCTGTTGCATGCCTGCGCGTGACCAGCACTCTCAGGAATGGGAGGTCCTGTGGGGCAGTCCATACGATTCAGAACCAAACTGTACCAGGTCTAAGTCCTGCACCTGTGATACAGGGTTGGCAAGGCCCACATACAGCTTTTTTTTTTTTTTTTTTTTTTAAGGGCAAATTACATGTCAGGAAGGATCTACAACTCCCAATGCCCACTTCTCATCTCAAGGTGTGTGTCTAGGTCTCTTTCCTCTCAACCAAGCCAGTAGCCAGATCTGGCCTAGAATTTTGCCCTTTGAGGACTGAATTCCCAACAACAAAAAATTAGTCATTGCCAGGAGTTGGAGGTACGGGATGGAGAAAGTGGTATTGGCTGCTCATGGTTGTGGGGGTTCTTTTGGGGGCTAATAAATCTATCTGGGGATTACTATTATAGTAACTCCACAAGCTTATGAATATAAATGGAAGTATGGGTCTGTTATATTACATTGTGTAGTTTATTGGGTGTGTATGGGTGTTTTGCCTACATGTATGTCTCTGCACCATGTGATTGCCTGATGCTGGAGGAGGCCAGAAGAGTGTGTTAGACACCCTGAAACTGGAGTTACAGATGAGTTGCCATGTGAGTGCTGGGGATCGAATCCAGGTCTCCTGGAAGAGTAGCCAGTATTCTTAACTGCTGGGCCATCCTTTCAGCTGTACATTATGCACTTCAAAAGGATACGTTTAATGGTACTGAATATACTCAGCAGAGAAGAGGGGGACCTTGGCTGTTTAGAAGGCTGGAACTTACTTGATCAGCCTCCTGGAGTGTCAACCAATCTAATCACCGGAGTGTAAGGATTATGTCCTTAATTACATCACCAGCCTGCAAC